ATTGCCTATCGCACAGAGATTACTGAACATTCAATTTGCGGTATTATTCGTTCCTCTCCAAAGCTCCAGCATCTTGATATTATCTTTTGTGAAATTACTGATAAAACAATCAAAGAAATTGCTAGTTCGTGTCTTAATTTAAAGTATCTCAATTTGGAAGGATGTGAAAATATTAGCAAAGAAGTCATAGATCAGCTAAATCCAAATACTCATGTTGAGAATTACCGGGATCCGAATGATATTCAAGTTGAGATAGAGCGAGTAGTAGAGATATTATCAAGACGGCCTCCAGTTATTAGAACTCAGTTTCACCAGACATTCCGACAACCTAATTCTAATATATTTATGACAGTTGACTCTGATGCCGATCACTCTGAGCGTCTTGTCGCTCAACCACGCTAAGTTCACATATACCATAGAAAAATTCGCCAAAATAATCAAATACCTGAGAGGGTTTTCTGGCTTCGAATTTATGAGAATGCGGGCTATAAACAAACAAACGCTGAGAAATTATTTTGATAGAATACTAGCCGATCTAAGTATGCGCTGGCGACATAGAGCTGGTGAAAGAATATTAGCCTCAGAATGGTGGTACTCTACTGATCTAATTAGTCTGGAGTAGTGATCATCACTCGAAAGATTTTTTACTGAGCCACAGTTTGTGCTTTATTTTTTTCGATTGAAAATCTCCAAATTATATAAAATGCATACAGTTAATTTACTTGATCAGCTTACGCCAAAAAATCTTTCAATACAGGACCTTAAAAAATGTTGCAGTATAAATAATATATGGAAAGATAAGGTGATTCGAGAAATTCGCAAAAGATTAATAGTGGATTGTACATTCATTCAGGCTAAAGTAACTGTTAAAGCACTTATTGATCCCAAATCCTTCTATGGTAGCATTAGTAAGGCACTTGCCCAAAAAATGGATTTATATATTTCTAGAGAATATGGATCAGGATATCCTGCAGTGAGAGACCTAGGCTTTGGCGCAACAAATGCTAGCAAGAAAGTGATGAGAAGGGGATGGGTTGATAGAGAAGAAGTTTCAGTCGCTTTGCCA